CCCCAAAACCCCAAAACCCCAAAACCCCATGAGAGTATATAATCAATGAAAAAGAGTTGTCAGTTTATTATAATTTTAAATTTGATAATATTTTTTGAGCGCCTTTAAATGACCGCCGTACAAATGCAACCTACAATTCATGAATAATTATCAAAAATTTTGTTAAAAATTTCATCAGACAATGCGCAAAGTCTGTGGAAGTTAAGTAATTTTAATGGGATATCCTTCACAGCGAACCCTGATGAATTCAATGATGTTAGAAAGCATCGAGAAATCTCTTAAGCTGTAGGGAAATTAAAAGGATAGTGGAGACTCTCTTACGGGGAAAAAGTCAATTACTATATCATGCCCGAAAGTTTCTTTTTAAGTTCTCAATCTATCAAAGAAATTGTATAGAGTGATATATTAGATAGGCATCGAATTCATAACTGGATTAAGCAGACTATAGCGAATCAGTTATCATAGTTTATTCAGCAGCAATAGATTGAACTGAAACCTAGAAAATCAAATGATAATGAGTCTGTTTTAAAGTTGATAGAAAAATTTAGTAGTATGAGAGTCAATGAAGATCATAGGAATTATGGAAAGATAATCAATATTAAGGACTTTAATGATGCTGCAAAGTACCTACTCTCTTCGTACCCAGATTTCCATAATGAGCGCATTCACACTTTACTAGTTTACGATGAGCAGGATAAGCCCAATAAATTTGATGCTGAGCAGTACATTGTAGTGACAAAGATTGATGTTCCAAAAGATAAAAATTAAGTTGCACTTATGGATTTCTAAGATCGATAAGTTTTTCATAAATTCGAGAAACTCACATAATAAACAAATCACTAAAAACCTAAATTTGACTATCACAAGTTTAGAATAGAAACTTCTGATTCAATTGCAGCAGTCTGCACTATGGAGGAGTTGAATTACTTCAATAAAAATTCAGAGTGGATTAATGAACAAAAGTTGAAATCTTTAAAGAAAGATGAAGATAAGGTATGTTTGTCTGAAATAGAAGGACAATAGTTTGTTCATTATGAGCAAATGCCTAATTTAGCTCATGCTCATTGCGGTATATGTAGAGTTAACTATACTTCTTATTTCGAGCATATTGAAAGTAAAGAGCATTTAAATAACACTAAGGCTCAGTAAACAGTAATGAAAATGATCGATGTAATTTTTGAAGAAAGAGCGAAGCAAAATCGCTGGAGGACATCTCCACTCATAAAGTAGATTTCAAAACCATTAGTTCAAATTGAAGATCATAAAATGGAGATTGAATAGCTGTAACCTCCACTACTAAATCTTAGCAGCAATTAATAAGTAGAACATAGCATAAAATTCGAAGATTAATAAGAAAAGGAAGAGCTAGAAGATAACATGGAAGCAGTGTTTCAAGATATTGACAAAGTCATTGCTGAGCTCTCTGAGAGAAGCAAGATTAGTGCGTAATTTTATCAGGAATAAGAATAAAGAGCTAAATATAATCAAGAAAGCTACATAGAAGACGTTAATTTACTATATTAAGAAATCCAGTAAGACTTGGTTCAGGATGTAACAGCCCCTGACTAAAAAGATTTCATTATAAAGAACTATGATGCTGACCTTGTAAATTCCTAGATTTTGTAAGAGATAGAAGAAATTGAAGGCAAAGGATAGGAGGATTTAGAGTCTTTTGTGCCGATTCTGCCTAAATACAATGCCAAAGAGAATTTATCAACCATTAATGAATGCTCTGAGGGGAAAAGTCAGTCGAATATCAATATCTAATCGACATCATTTGCAATTTCTAAAATAGAACCAGAATCGCAATTAACCCTCCGTGAAAAGTAAGAAGAACAAATGAATGACATTCATTAAATTGATAAAGAAACTCATTAATTGAAAAGTGAAGCAGAAGGGTTTAATCAGTTGGAAGAGGATATAGTGAAGAATAATAATATTCCTATAATAGACAATGATAACTAGGAAAATAAAGTTGAAAATCATAATGAGCCTCAGACTAATGGCTAAATAATTGAAAACTCTTATAATTATACTAATCCAGTACTAGAAATGAATGACTAATATCTGTAGAGTTTCAATTAATACATGTGTGTCGAGCAAACTATCACAAATAACACCTTCACTCACAGGTAAAATACCGAATTCGAAAGCAATAATAAGATTGATATCTTTAACTAAGCAGACTCAGAAAATCCTGAAAATTTGTTGCAACCTTAGTAATAAAACTAAAAACCTCAGAGCTAATAGCTTTCTCAAAAGTCTCAACTAATACTCACAGGCAAAAGGGTAGAGATGAATAACATTCAGACAGATAAAAAGGACAATACAACGATCAATAATACTTAAAACTAATTGAAGGAGACTTAGATTACAGAATCTAGTAATCATGTAAAATAAGAACCTCCAACAATTTAAGTTAATACTTAAAATACTTCTTAATCTTAACAGGTACTAGTTAAAAAGAGAAATGATTAGAAAGATAATTATTCTTAGCAGCAATAATCTCAATAGACTCAGCCAACATATAGAAGATTTTCAGATGCAAATAAAGTCAAACAAGAGGAATTATTTCCAACCAATTATCAAAACAGATACTAATTGCCTGTTTAAATTCCACCCAAAACCATAATACAGCACTAATCTTAGCAGGTCAATTATTAAGCTAATATGTCTTAAGCAAAGATACAAAACCTATTCCCACAAAATTTACGGAATAATCACTTAGGTAGATCAAGATTTAACTTGAATCAGCCAAAGTACTTCATAAAAACTCCGACATCTACAGTAAAGTAAGAAAAGAGGAAAGCAGATGATCACTTAGATGACAGTAAAAATCCGATATAAAAACGTCAAAAAACTAAGGACTCTTCAAATACAAGACCTTCGTCAAACAATAGTCGGCAGCAACTTGGGCTAATTAATTCCTCTGGGACGAATGCAACTATCTCAACAAAGACTGGTACTTCCTACATCTGAAGGAAAGTAAATTTTATCTTAAGAACAGTAAGAGTTGACGATAGAAATGTTCCTTAACTAAACAATTAAAAGGATTGTTTATTAATTTGTAAATTCAAGAGTTCTTATTAATAGTTAACACAATAATTGCTTCTAAATATATATCACTGGATACAGATAATTAAGCTATAACTTACAGCATCTATCTCCCTTTAATTAATCTCATTTTCTTTTTACTTCAAACAGCTGTATATCTTATTTGAGTTAAGCCATTTCTGAATCCCACAGTTCTTCCTTTTCCTTGAATCGTTTTTTATTGTCCATAAACATTTACTCTAACTTCTGATTCGCTATTTCCAATGTTTCCTGTGTCCTCCTCAGCATACTCATTATTTGGTGCTATTCACTTTTGTTATCTTGATCTCTAGCCATTTACTAATGCTATCTTAAAAGGTCATCTCTCTCCTATCTCGCTTTATGTCTTTCTCTTTCACTTTCCTGCAACTTTTGCTCTAATTCACTGAGCTTTTTAGTAATAGCTTCATTTGCATGTGCATTTTCACGTTTATCTTAATCTCGAGCTTTAATTTCCTTCCTAGTTTGATTTAATTATTTAAATCTCTGAGAATAGTGATTGAGAATCAAATCTATAATTTTCTAGCTCTTTTTCGATTTCAATTTGGTTTCAGGGAATAAAGCAATGATTTAGTCTATATACTAAGAAACGAAGTCTTCATCTTCACGATTTTATAGTTTTTCATAGTTCACTTTAGGAGGCTTGTTCTCTTTTTGAGTAAAACTAAGGTTTGTTCTAATAGGGGAATGTCTATTACTCTTTTCTATTGAAACATCGAGGTCCTTTTAATTCTTGAATTCGGTTTATGGAATGTGTTTAGTTGACTATGACTAATTTAAAGCGTTGCTTGAAATAAACATAGATCTATCTTTAGATACAGATCTGCCTAATGACTCTTCTCTCATTTAGGAGAGCTTTCTATTATGATTTTCTACAGTTTACTTCCACCTGTTGATCAAATTATCCATTTTATATAAATTTAAATTCAAACTTAGCAGTAATACCCCCTTAATTCAACTCTATGGGGTTTTGGGGTTTTGGGGTTTTGGGGTTTTGGGG